ACAGCATCAGGAACAGCATCAGGAACAGCATCAGGAACAGCATCAGGAAACACAGGAGCAACAAAATCTAGAAGCTTCCATCGAGACGCCATTGAACATGGAACCCTATGTTTCATTCAACAGTGACAGCAATTGYAACGACACAAGTACAAGCACCACTGCTGCGAATCACACAGAAAAGTTGTGCCGACGATTCGAACGATTGGAGCCATATGTTGAGCAGCCGACACCTCTGAATAGCAATCCTCGATACSGTATTCGAGAAACGAGACAGGAGCACGAGTACGAGTATGCGCACGAGTGCCCACCGAAGCTCCTGTCGAAACAAGAAAAACCCATGYCAGTTCATGGTCTTGCTGACACCAACAGYGACCCCAGCGACCCACCAAAYCAACGAAAAATTAGTTTTTCTGAGCGACTCCCAGAGGTTTCCTCGGCCTGTCCRRGGGCMTTTCGGAACATGATTCCCCCCACGTCGTGCCTCGTCGAGGAACTACAAAAGGATCCGTCCTATGCACACGCCCTGGCGGCCGGCACCATCTGGCAGTCCCTGGTGGGACAGCACGTTCGCTTTCCCAAACTGTGGTACGACGGCGCCGAGCCGGCCCGGCCCTTTCTAGGATGCTACGATCCCAATCGACGCAACAAGTGGTCCTACGTGGGACGGCACCGGATCGAGGGCGATCCCCTGCTCAATCGAAGGTACGTCCGTTCCAAGAAATCAAGCGGGAAGATCCTCTTGCACATAGTGTGCCGGGACGTCCTGAATCTCACCGGCGGTGTTGATTTGGAGGACGAAGCAGCGACGGAAGATCTGGTTGTCGGGGTCTTTCATCCGAACGCCGAGGGGATCCATTCGAGACTCGGCAACCCGTCGAATCACGGAAGCATCGGCATTGACTGCTGCCGAGAYGTRTGGATTGCCCACAAATCTAGGAGGATTGCCCACAACAAAAAACGGACGGCCACTCGCATCGAATCCTTGCTGCGGAATCTCAACAAGAATCGGGTCGATGAGACCCCGCTGGGGGGAGATTTYATGCASAGCGAACCAGCACAAACAAAGCGAATTCGAAGGACAATCGACAATACAAACGTGAACGTCATCTTTGGGCGTGGGCCGCCCAAACACACCGTCTTTGTGCCGGAACACAAACTCTATCGGATGTTGGCACCGTTGGCCGAAACCGAAAACAAAAGAAACAACAAAAACATACCGGCATCGGTCSTTCTTATGAGAACCTTTCTTCGGTAAAGAACGAAAGAGCAAAGACAGATACGGAAATCGAARCAGCGAACGCAGAACACCCAGAATCGAAAAAAAGGAAGGGCGTTATTCATCTATTCCTAYACGGAAAGTACATCGGATCCCGACTAGAGCAGCAACACTGGAAATCATCGTTTCGTTCTTTGACGCGAGGCCGGGCGAAAGGAAACGGTGTGGTAATTCTTACAATGCAATCGGATGCGGTAGGACGTCGGACACTACCGGATTGCCAATCTAAAACCTGGACGAACGACGTTCCTGWTGTCTAAGAAAAAGGCACGGATCGAACCGACGGATGGATGCGATTGCCCTGCTGTACCATGTCATGAACCGCGCCGCGGTCGAAGACAATGACCACCCCACTCGGTTCGTGACCCGTCGGAGCATGCCGAGCGAGAGCACGGAGGCAGTGGCGGTACTGCTTGGACGACCACACAGCACTGCATGGTTTGTACCAACTTGTTSGCCGGCGCAATTGTAGTACTRTATGTGTTAGATTTCAATATTATCCTTAGAGTGAAAAAAGTCGGCATGCTGGAAACCTTTCGTTTGTGTTCGTGGATTCGTGTGTTTGATGCACGCGCAAATACTCCATGCGTATGCGTATGCGTATGCGTATGCGTAGTGCGTCCTCTCGGTGCCATACCGCAGCGCAATGCCAAGGACAAGGTATTTTCGAAGAGTGCGAGGTGTTTCCGGCGTTCGTTTGGGAACCAACGGCCCCRATTGTTGAGAGTTGAATGTTTCCATCGAACTCCACCTCCGTATCGGTTTTGTTGTTTAGGAGCAAAAGGACACCACGAGACTAACACACACACAGACAGCACAGGGCAGCACAGGGCAGCACAGCACAGCACAGGGCAGCGTAGCGTAGATGCGAAGCAACCATCGTTCCGGGGTCGCTTTCGGAAGAGCGAGTCGCTTCTTCTTCAATCTATTTTCTTCGCCACGGCCTGGACCGACCGGACGGCGCAGCCCGCAAAGAGCCCCACCGTGACGAAGCAGCCGCCCACGATCCCGACGAGCGTCGCCAGAAATCCGAAAAAGCCGCCCTCGCCGTTGAGCTCGTCGATGTGTACCGCCAGGGGCATCACGTCGTAGCCCAGCGAGATGCCCGGGAGCAGCGTGGAGACGCCCCCGGCCACCATCGTTTCGGGCTTTAGGGTGTGGTCGACGACGCTCATCTGGTACATCCTGCCCCTTCTTCCCCCAAAGACCTTSTCGAGCAGCCCGGGGTTGGAGTGGACGGTCGGGATGAGCTTGACGTGGACCTCCTGCAGGGCGACGCCGTTGAGGTCGTTCTCGATCGAGTGGAGCTTGTTCTCGAGCGGGGGCACGTATCCGTGTTCCACCAGGCCCCCCGAACCGTGCTTGCTCCCGAAACGGACCTCGTGGATAAAGTGTGTCGTGTTGGAATCGTTCTTGTGGAGCTCGTCCTGCCTGGCGGCCTCCGCTTCGGGAAGGCTCGACCGGACCATAAAGTACTGGATGGCCTCGGCCCAGGAGTCCCTGGTCATGGAAATGGTCAGGGATCCGGCCACCAGCGGGACCCTCAGGTTTCCCACCAGGGTGCAGCCCTTTCCACGGTGGGCCCTGGCACCGTGCGATTGCTCCGATCCAAAGATGGTTTTGATCTCGCTCGATCGTGGCGGGTACTTCTTGATGGTGAGCTTGCTCCGGTCGATGGGTTTGTTGTGGTTCTTGCCSTGGCTCTTGCTGCTGCTGCCACCGCTGCTGCTCCACTCCGAATGGGCATCGCCACGGATCGGCTCGCCGTTGAGCGCAACATCGACGTGCTTGCAGGGAAGGTGCAGGAAGGTGATCTTGAAATAGAGCGGGATCCTTCCCTCGCGGTCGATCGCTCGTCTCTCCGAGGCCGAGAGGCCRTTGGTTTTGCCGCTGCCGCTCGGCAGCATGGGAAAATGCGTCGATTCCGAAAGGTGCAGCGTGTGGGTAGCGTTCGGAAAGACGTAGACACAGACCTGGCACACAAAGAGCAAAAAGGCCGTCGAGGCGGCTAGAAGGGTGACCAGCCCGCCGCTTGCCGACTGTGTTCGGATGTCGGCGCGGGCCTTGACGAAGACGTCCACGTTTCTCAGAACCGGCATGCTAACGGTGACAGTATCAGGAACAGTGCTATAAAAAGTTACAGGAACAGTATCGGGAGCAGTATCGGGATGTGCACTGCGTGTAGTGTAGTGTAGTGTAGTGTAGTATTCTGCCTTGCTGTTGTTGTTGTTGTTGTTGTTGTTGTTGGTTTCGATCAGCTGGAAGCTGGACCCTGGAACAAAGACTGAGACTGAGACTGGGACTGAGCCTGGAGGTGGAAGTGGAAGTGGAAGTGGGCGTTAATCGAAGTCAAAAGGAAAGTGAACACTAACATGAAACTGAAAACGAAAGTACGTACTGCGACGAGAGTGAATAATGCATACCGGTGTGTTAAAGCACCACGCATCGCGATGAGCGGAAAAAGTCCGTGTCGGTTGAGTGGGCAGATGCGAACAATTAATCGTAACCGTAGACCCCNAACACTAACATGAAACTGAAAACGAAAGTACGTACTGCGACGAGAGTGAATAATGCATACCGGTGTGTTAAAGCACCACGCATCGCGATGAGCGGAAAAAGTCCGTGTCGGTTGAGTGGGCAGATGCGAACAATTAATCGTAACCGTAGACCCCCAAAAAACAACCAATGACCAATGATTTTTGATTTTCCTCTTGTGGGCGTAACAAACAAGAAGATATTGACAATGGAACAACAAGCCTCACAGTGCTGCTCTCCATCACTTCAATCAATATCATCGTATGGTGATACTACTACTACTACTACTAGTACTACTATCAAGAAGAACACCCTGCATGCTGGTATGAAGAACTGGTGAACCTCCTCATAGTAGTAAGAGTAGTAGCACTACTAGTAGTACTAGCTAGTAGCATTACTACTATTACTACTAGTAGTAGTACTACTAGTACTAGTACTAGTACTACTCTGTACTGAAGTACTGCAAGAACAACAAGCAAGAACAGGCAAGAACAACAAGAAGAAGCAAGAAGCAAGAAGAAGCAAGAAGCAACAAGAAGAAGCAAGAGCAACAACAAGTACTACTAGTAGCTACTAGAGTAGTAGTAGTAGTTCAACAACAAGAACAAGCTCTCAGAAATACTACTACTACTACTAGCTACTAGTACTAGTAGGAGTACTATCAATAGTAGTACTACAAGAATGATTATATTTTCAATTGTTCATCCAAAATAGATTAGTACTACTAGGAGTACCAGTAGAAGCAAGTGCAGTAGCTAGTAGTAGTACTAGTGGTGCTACAAGAACTACTCCTGTGTAGTTTGGTCTCAGACTCACAAATTCATATTAGTAGTACTAGTACTACTACTAATAATAGTACTTAATGATCATGATAATTATTTTATTACATTTAATGATACCAGATATTGCAACGTGAAGAATAAGCAAATTGAGTGATACAAATTCTGCCAATGATAGCGCCGTGCTTCTCGCGAACAGATGATGCCGATCTAGCACGCTYCACAAGCTTTCTTGCAAATCTGTTTGATGGTCTTTGTTTTGCCTTTTAATTTTGCTTGCGTGTCGCACGTGAACCCWTTCTTGGCAAAGTTTGTACATCGTACCATTTCCGAATTGACCTTGAACTGTCTCTTGCCGTTCTTGCATTTGGGTTTGGGGTTGGGGTTGTTGCCTTCGCATTTTTTCTTGCATTTCTTTGGGCAGAAATCTGCGAGCTTTGTTTCCCCGTCATCTGCCAAGAGCTTGCAGCGACTCTTTTTTTGCTTGTAAACCCAGTTACAGTCCTTCCCTTGGTATTCGAAGTTGACRCTATCCGTGCAGGTCCCCGGTTCTGGTACCAACGGTGTAGGACTGGGAGGATTCGGTGTTGGCGTGGGATCAGGAACGGGCGCCACAGTGGGAGTTGCAGTGGGAGTTGCAGT